CTGCCAACAGATTTTAGTTTTTTGATAAGATGTCATTCTGTTGTCAAGGCTGCACACAATCTGATAACTCAACCTGTCAACTCAATACAATTTTTTTTTTGCATATGGATGATTCTGTTGTTGAGGGACATGTTTTTTTTGGTACTGGAAGCATTTTGACATATGTTACATTTAAGAGAAATTTTTTAGTTTTTAGTTGATAGTAAACAACAACCAGCACCTTAGAGAAAGAAAGTCTTGGCTGGGTTTACACATAATCTTGGAACTATCAAGGTGCATGAAGACAAAGACTAGAAGAGCTCACAAAGCTCCAGCAACACTTGTATGAAGATCAACTTTATTAACAAATTAGACCGATGCGTTTCAGCTTGTGGCCTTCATCAGGGTGATTGAGAGGTCACCATGTAACACTCTCTTGTAATGAGAAGACAGAAAAAAAAGCTTAATTTTGTTTTTCTTACTTAAACATTTGGGATGCTTGACGTGGGCCCGAGGGATATATTACTATATTTACAGTTAAATATCAATTAATGCTAATCCTCTACTGGACTTTCTCCAAATATGAACTTAAACAGCCATTATTAGAGTGAGTGTGTGTCAAGTTAACTACTTCCACAATTGTCAGGTGAGTCAGTCTGTCAAAAGGAACCAACCCCAGCAACTCACCACCCTGCTATTAGGAAATAGGAACTTGTTAAGGAATGTTGAAATTGCATTAACACATGGACTGCTGTGTCTACACTTGCATATAAGCAATGCAACTCAGTCTTAGGGGAAACTGTGTGTTAATGTTTGTCAGTGTTTCTATGGTGTAACAGACGCATGCAGCAACCTGTCCAAATAAATATGAACTTGTTTCTGAAGAATATGATTTTAACAAATATGTCAAAGCTATGGGGAGAATACCACCCAAAAGTAAAATTGTCGCTCTGCTATGCATCAAAAAACTGTCCTTCTCCATTTTGTCTGACACAAAAGATCTTGGGCGGAGAACAAAAATCATTATGCAACCGTTTTCAGGTGCCCTGCCATCAGACAGGTATTATCACGGCTGCGTTACACACCCATTCACTAGCCCATTGTTGGGTTTGCATTCTTCAGCTGAAGAGATATGACACCTAACTATTATATTATACAACCTTGCACCTAGGGATGGAGCTGGAATGACTAATAAAAAAAAATAGACAGTCTGATCCTAAATCCTTGAAAATTGAACAAAAGATCAACACAACACGTCCAATTTCAGTATTTCTATTTGTGTAAAATTAGCGTAGTTATAATGCTAGGAAAGAGCAGCAATTTAAAATAGATCACCTCGATGAAGGTAGGAAAAATGTTTTCTTTCAATTACTGATTTTGCATCAAAATGCAAAATGTGTAATTTAAAAGAAAGCGACAGACACAAATGTCTGCTTTTTTAACATACTTCCCTCAGCTGTGTAGTACAATGTGCTTTGAATCCAAAAACACACGAAAGATAAACATTCAAAGAGTGAAAGAACTGGTATGAAAAGTTTCTGAAACATATCCCAGTAATGACAACCATTAACATCACTAAAATCACAATGTGTACAAAGAAAAAGGTATGGCTTGAGCAGGGAAGTAGGTTGACTCCCCGCACTGCTGCCTCCATCAGTAAGAAAAGGTTTATATGACTCACTAAAAGCTCACCCAACTTGACTCATGCTATCCAGCAGCGAGGGACAAAAGGAGGCTGTGGGAACAAAGAACAACTACGACCATAACATTAGCCTTTTCCTGGTTTGAGAGAACGACTTAATGGCAGCCATCGCCTTATCACTGTCCTTGCGCTGCAAATGATTCAGAAGAATCTGCAAAAATCAGTTTATCGCAGATTGAGTGCATGAAAAAAATCTCGCCTTCCCTGTGCTCAGAGCTTCTCTGTGGCAACACACAAACACACTTCATGCAGGTATTTCCAGTTTGACCACACATGCCTGTTTAGTGTTCTATATTTGAACAGACCATAGGCACTTTATTTCCCTTGCTTATGACTAGGTAAAAGTATGAAAAGCTGCCATATGGGAACAACAGTGTTTACCACCCATCACAGTACATTATTACAGAAATAGAATATCATTTCATACCAGATGACAAAGTGTTGGAATAAAACACGAATAATCTCTTGCCATCATGAAAAAGTTATTGACATCTAAAAAAAAAAAAAAAAAAAAGTATTTCATATCCTATATTTGTTAGACAGCCTATACTTACATTTCTTACTGTTAAAGACTTCAGGTGGTGAATGAAAAACGAGTGTGTTTTTGCACAGGTGTGAAGACCTGTAAGTGCATTTAAACTTCAAAACAGGGGATCTCCAGTAAACCACGAAGTAACCTCAAGTGAAAGTGTAAAGACAAGTCATTTGTAAGACAGTCTGATTGAAAGCTGTTTTTTGTTTTCTAACCCCACCACGGTGTATGACCCCCCCCCAACCCCCCAACCCCCCAACCGACGCCGCATCACAAGACGATTGCATCATAGGCCTGCACAAATGATGATGATGACTCCACCGCGGATGCTACTTGAACGCCACATAAATACTCCTTACCAGCAGCAATATTGCAAAAAGATGGCATGTCTATCAAACCATGTTGTAACTTGTGTCTCAACTTGACTCAGATAAAGTTACAGCTCGCAGCAGGTGTCTTTGTCTCTGGGTCTGGATGAACGTCGTCTTAGACACCTTGTTGCCAGGCACACGGGAGGGGGGGGGTCAACACCTCGGCATCAAGTGACACTCACAGGTGTAACTACGGTTTTTGGTGTCGAAACGAAGCCTGCTAGCTTGGAGATAATAATAATAATAATAAAAAAAGAGCGACTCACCTTTAAAAAGATAGTCGTATTCGTCCTCTCTGTTCGTCATCGCTGCTGTTTTTTCGACGCCTCTACGTATTTACTCGAAGTCGAACAAACTTCTGGTACTTTTGGGAGAGACCGTCAGACAACCCCCGTTAACGACTGTAGCTGGTAGCTTCACACACGGAAGACGGTCAAATCGCACTCAAGTCGAAAACTACGCCGAAAAAACTTGTCCAGAAGTTAAATAATTTTTTTTTCCACTGTTGTTGTTCCCACAGCGGCTACTAGCTCAGAAAAAAAAAAGTTTCACCTCGTCTTCCTCACCCCTCTGTCACTTGCCATTACGGAGGCTGCGACGTAACGTTCAGAGTCTTTTGGCCCGCCCCCTTTGTTCGCTCCTAATGGTCAATAGCTGATCGACACCTGTCACGAGCGTTGACGTGATTGGCCCGCTTGGCTGCCGTTCATGGTTCAACCCGCTGGTCGTTGATTTTCGTGACGTCTGCGGCCCCAAGCCTCAACAGGTAGCATCAAACCTCATTGATATGTATCACTGCAGCCTTACAGAGGTGTGATACATCTCTCAAGGAAGACAAGAGATATCAAAAAAGGAGATTAGATAAATTAAATAAATTGTGAGGGAACGCCTACATATGGGCCCTAGATGCTTCAGGACAAATATGTGTCTTCATTTTGTCTGTCTCCTGATTTCTGTTATCCTGTAAATATGTTTTATTCATGTTTATTAACTGCTCTATGCTACACAGCAGATTTCTGTGCTTTCGACCAGGGGTCCCCTTGAGTCCCCAAGAAGGTGGTCTTGAGATGCCTTCGAAAAATACTAATACATATTTAAATTATTCAAAATATTTCACCTGTTATTTTAAAATAGATACAATTTCAAATAAAAACATACTATTTAGTGAAATAAAATGAATATGGACAAAGATGCACACATCTATTTTTTAAATATGTATTTGTCCACTGTCTATACATATAAATTACTTAATAATTATATGCCTGAACCACCCTACATTGACGGTGGGGGTCCCCAGTCTCTGGCACCCTTATTTTTGGGGTCACAAGCTGAAAAGTTTGTGATTTTTTTTAGCATCTACCAAAGAGGCTTTACCGTTTTTGTAATTTGTTTTTTTTTGTGAAAAACTTTTTCTTGATAAAGTAAAAAAAAAAAAATGAAACTGCTTAAGGTGCCCCTATATACAGGGGGCTTTCTTAACTCATTGCTGATCTCTTTTTACTTGTAGGCTATATATCAAGCGGCAAGATTCAGTGTTGAAAAATGAAACAATGTGTAATTGAAAAAAACTGCAGTTCATCGAGTGTCCACTTGAGACTGGGTCCAAGAGCCCAGGAACTCACATACACACCCCATTCAAAAATGCACATTTTTACAGCAGACATTAAGATGTTTACAGCCTGGTACAAAGAATGATTTTGGTCGGATTGGTTAATGTCTTCATGGGCACACACTGTACAGGGGTGTATTTTATTATAATGCATCCATTTTGATTTTATGAACAATATGTATCTATAGTAAGGAGCGTAGCTGACCTGATTGACATGTGGGCACAATCTAGCTAGTTTTTCAGGAGGCTTAAAACCCACCTCAGCTTCATCCCTTGCCTGTCGTATGGTTGTTTGAAGTTGGGCTGAGACAGGATGTCCAGCAAGGCGCCCGACATCAACAAGCCTTCAGAGACCCCTGCAGATATCTATGGGTGATGTCACTCAGGCTTCGTCCCCTTTTACTTACAGTTCTTTGGTGTGTGTGTGTGTGTGTGTGTGTGTGTGTGTGTGTGTGTGTGTGTGTGTGTGTGTGTGTGTGTGTGTATATATATATATATATATATATATAGAGCAGTTTTTGACAAAAAATCTCATCCTGCTTTCTTTTAACAGTCAAAGGTGTAAAGTTTTGCCCTAGAAAAAGTAAACAGTCTCTTTCAGGTGTGCTGTTGCTGCATCAGTGTTTCCAGACATTAAAAATAAGGATACAGAAATAAGTGTTCTCGTTGTGCATGGTCTCACTTGTAGGTCATAAAGAGGCCTCAGCATTAACTCCAGCCAGGTCATGGCCAGATAAAAATTCCTCACAGAAGCTTTGTGCTCATATCGTTCATCATAGGAGACAAATAACACATTGTGAGACCAACTTTCTCCATATTCTTTTTAATTTCACGTCAGCGAATAAATCAGACTCCTCTTAACGTCATCAGCTGGAGTACAAGCACAGGAAGACTCATCATCTGCACAAACAAAACATGCCCTCAATCTGTTGTCATGAATAATGCACATTTAAAATATTTCCAAATATTTGCATGGATCATAAATATATCACCTTACAAGTAGCACAGTTATGTGTTTACTTTTGACCTATGTTCAATAGTCAGCAGGGACTCTTCAAAGTTAATGTTTATCCAGATACATTCATTCACATATATGAATCCTCTTTTTAATACATCACCAGCATGCAATTTGTGAAACCGTTGTATCAGTCTTTTCCAAGTTAACATTGGCACCCAGTGTTGCCATATCATCCCCATAATCTTCAAGCTCTAGCAAAGCATTGTGGGTGAAGGAGGAGTTCGGCACCCCTGAGTCCCCTGGTCTCCTGAAGGTCCTTGTGATCAGACGTTTCTGCAACAGGGCCTACTCTCCTCTGTGTTTCCTGAGCTGGAGTTGTTCAAAGACACAGCACTGATAGAGCTGCGACTTATTTGCTTACTGCCCCCCTTCCTGCGGATCTCTGTGGCAGAAAATTAACAAAATTAAAGATTGACATGGTGCTACAATAGAGGAAACCTTCCAGGCTTTGAGAAGAAAAAAGTCACACAACTATCAAAACAAAGTACTTAACAAACTCACTTCCTTGCTGTATGAAAGTTGACTCAAACTCATGAAGAAACTCATGAAGAATATTTTTTTTATTTAAATCCAAAACTCAACAGAAAACATTCCTCCAATAGCAGTCAATCAAAATACTTTTTCCAAACCTCTATGAGGTTAGGAGATGAAGGCAGGTTTACAAATAATATTTATTTATAGGGGAAGACAGGGAGGGAAAGAGAAAGGGAGATATGCCCACAGAAAGATCCAAGAAAGTCAATCATGCCCCAAAGCGAGATACAATTGCTCTCCTTGTGATGTCACAGTGGAATTCTGGTTAAAATAAAAATCCCCTCCCCTCCCCTCCCCTGGTATCTCCACCCATGGACTCCACCCCCAGCTCAGAGCAAAACTTTTGTGCAGGTCGGCCATTTTTATTCTCCCTAGCGAAGGAGTGATGTCTACCGGAAAAACTCAGGGTGGGCTCATTACATTTAAAGAGACACACACACCAAAACGGAGCGTTCTGAGAGAGCTGGTTTATACAGGGTCACAAACCTCCTCTGGTGCCTGATTCATGTTATTTTTTTTTACCAAAGCACAGCACAGATGTTTCATTTAGACCACAGGGGACTGTTTGAAAAGATGTAAGAAGGGGGTCTAATATGTCCTCTTTAATACATTAAAACAAATTACCTTCCAGGACATTGTTGAATGCTGCCTCCACATTGGTTGATGCCAAAGCCGAGGTCTCCAGAAACAAAAGACCATTCTTTTCTAGATAACACAAATAAAATACTACTTAGGTTACATGATATTTATAAAATGCACATTTGTTATAGTGTCACTGTAAAGCAATAATATCTATTTTTATCTAATAATTCTTAAAGAAAATGGAGATTTCAGGAGCTAAACTGGGCCCTATCATCAGGCAATATATTTTAATTGTAAATCAATTTGGGGATTTAGAGTCAGTTTTGTCACCGTGAAGAAAACATGATTGAGAAATTACAAACACTGACAGGACAAACAGTTTAGTGATCACTTTTTAAATTCAGTTTTCTGTTTAATTTAAGGTTACACTTGTACACTTTGTACCTGCAAAGTCTTGAGCCTCCTCAGTGGGCACAGACCTCTCGGGCTCCAGGTCAGACTTGTTGCCCACCAGCATCACCACAATGTTGGGATCAGCATGTTCGTACAGCTCCTTCAGCCATCGCTCCACGCTCTCATAAGTCAGGTGTTTGGTGATGTCATAGACCAGCAAGGCTCCAACTGCACCTCTGTAATACCTGTGCAGAGGTGATCCAACTTTACAGTAAGTGATTGTGTAACACCTGGGCCTTTTGTTTCATGTAATACCACTTTGAAGGTCAGAGTGTTGCTGTCTGTATAGCTGTTGATATTATGTTTAAAATGAATGTGAAAGGTTAGTTTACAACTGGAGCGCCACTGGCCTAGTCGTTGGTTTGTACGCGCCATCTACAGAGGCTAGGCCCTCTAAGTGGGTGGCCCGGGTTGGAATCCAATCCTCTCTCTCTCTCTTTCCCAGATTTCTGACTCTATCCACTGTCCTGTCTCTACAATAAAGGTTTATTTTGGTCTCCACCAGCTTGTAAACCACTTGTTTTTTAGGTGATAAATCCCTTACTATGTTCACAGGCTAAATGCTAACTTAAAGCATCTAGTATATTGTATGTTATTTAAGACACTATAGGCGAAAAGGGCACAATAAGGACAGTGATGATAAACAGAAAAACTGAACTTTGAGTTAAGAAGCATCATTATTATGTAGAGTTAGATGGGAACCTCAGAGTCAGGTACTAACTCTCTGTGGGTTCATGATTGATGATGTTTACACACATGCACAAACACAAAACTCCTTGAGCCACATGTTTTAACTCAAACAGACACATTTCTTCCCTTATTCTACCCGGACCTTTTTCCTGAGAGACTTTTTCAATGCAAGCCAGTTGGCAGTAAAGGTGACTTGAGATCACAGAACTGGTGCTTGACCGGTGTGATTGTCTTGTGTTTTCTTGTCCACTCATTTGTTGATATTGTGACTATGTCCAAATACATTGAGCATTAAGACAAAAACTGTCATTATAATGTTAGACTCTGTTGCTATGTTCCCCATATTGGATTTCTGTCCACTATCTTGGATCCCAGGCCCCGTGTGTCAGTGAAAACTTCACACTGTGAGGGACATTTATGAATGGGAAACACGGGAAGATCTGTGCTGCCCTGAAATCTTATAGACATTTTCGGTAGTGCATATTTGAAAAAGTCTTTAAATAACCTTTTTCACGCTGCACTTAATCTTGTCACGTCATCCATTGTAACACTCAAAATATCACCTGTGGTAGCTTTAAGTACTTTCCTATCCTAATTGAGAAAAATAAGTAGTTTCTCCTGCTCTCATTAAAAAAATATAATGAATGACAATTGGTCTGAAGTGAAGAACCAATCAATACTTCCTTCAAAATTACATTTCTGCTCCTCTCCTCCACTAGCATAATTAATTCCACTTTAATAGGTTTTAGCTGCTTGTTACAGCACAAATGGGAAATTCCATGGGAGCAAGAATTTGCATGCTGGAATAAGTCTGCAAGTAATTACCCAAAAAGCCAAGCTGTCAGAAAAGAGCTAATCCAGCGCTGTAGCATATCCTCATATTTTCCCATGTCTTAAAAATAAAACTGACATGGTTCTATTGTTTTAAAACCAGTCTCAGCTGTTAATCCTTCTAGTTTAATTTAAAAAAAAAAAGAATGAATCAGGAGTGCCCTCGGATAGGACAGTGACCTGATGAGAGCTGTTCAGACAAAGTCTCTGCTCTAACCAATTGGAGTTTTTGAACCCATATGTGCCAGTCATAAGCTGACAGGAGTGCAGAATGTGCTGGTTGTTTTTCAGGTAATGTGGGAGGGAGCTAAGGATCATTGCTTGTCCCTGCGTGTGTTTTGGCTGATAGCAGCACCACCTTAAGATGCTGACATACAGGTTTGCTCAAGAACTATAGAGCAAGAAAACAAGCATGAAATGTTGATTTAAATATCTGTCTTTCTGTGTGCTACGCTCAAACTGTGTGCCTGTTTAATATGAGTGCAATATTTAAACCAGTGCATCCACCAGTACGACATGTCACTTATTCATTTGGCATATTTTTCATGAACAAACACGACACCTTTATGAATCACAAACAAAGGTAGCAATGTGAGCCATCAGTCACCACTAAAGTCATATTCAGACTGTCTGTTCAAGGAGTGATATTTACGCCTCTGTGACATTTGGCGTCCAATATGAACATCATCTACTTGTTTGGTTTTTGCTTGTGATTGTGGTTATATGTAAACGTGTATACCTGTGTATCACAAACCTGTACCACAAGGGTCTACAGATGGAAATTAGCCTTTATACAGTCGCTACAATCTGGCATTTTTACATCTTTAAGTTCATTAACGTTGGGGCGCTGGTGGCGCAGTGGTTGTGTGCCCCATCTGTGGAGGCTGTGGTCCTCCGGGCGGGTGGCCCGGGTTCGGGTCCAACCTGTGGCTCCGTTCCCTCGTGTTGTTCCCTACTCTCTCTCCCTGATTTTCGGCTCTGTCCACTGTCCTATTCCTCCATTGAAGGCACAAAAAAGCCCAAAAAGAAAATCTTTAATAAAAAAATAAAATAAAAAATCATTATGGTGGACTGTACCTATTTTAAACAAATAGACAGATATATATATATATATATATTTGAAAACATCAACTAAATGTGCATTATATAAAGTTTGTCTGTAAATGTTCAAAAGATATGTTATGTAATTTTGAATATTATAACAAGGAACACTTTGATTGTTGATGTCTGACATGAGAGTTTTTCTAAGGAAGAACAGATATTTTGAATGTCCAACAGGAAGAATGACATGTAGGTATCAGAAATCGAAAGCCCAATATGCAATAAACAAGAGTAGTAAAAGTGACGTCATTCGTCCGAGGAGAGACGACGTTGGGGATATCTGAAACTTGATACAAATAATGCTAACATCCTGCACAGTTTTAATATGTATTTGGGACACGTGTTTATATTAATGGATCTATTACAGATTACAGGTGTGCTGATTCATAATACTCACGCAGAGGTGATGGCTCTGTATCTCTCCAGCCCGGCTGTGTCCCAGATCTGGGCCTTGATGGCGAAACCTCCAAGCTGCACCGTCCGTGAACTGAACTCCACCCCGATGGTTGTGCGACTGTCGTGGTTGAACTCATTTTTGGTGAAGCGGCCCAGCAGATTGCTCTTTCCTACGCCCGATTCTCCTATTAGAACCACTGCAGGGGACAGAAATAAGAGACACAAGGGTTTCAATCAGTTGCGTGTGTTTGTGGCAGAACTTAGAAGAAGAAGATGAACTTTATTAACTCAGAGAAGGGAAATTCAATTTTACACTATGTTGTTGAACATGCTACACTACACACAGAGGATGGAATAAGGACATATGCACAAAGAGGATGCACTAATGGAGAGATGTCAGACAGATGGGGTTGGGGGGGGGTTGCTCATGGGCACCTCGGCAGTGCTCAGGACTGTCACCTCTCCAGCTACCAGACCAATTTCCAGATTTTTGATTTTTTTAAAACCGGCGACCCTCCAATTCCCCATCCAAGTCCCTACAGACTGAGCTACCACTTAACCAAATAGTCCGACAAACTTCATAATGGCTATGCGTAACATGAGCCAACCCTGTGCTGCCCAATTTATCCTTTTCAGCCCCTTTTAATTGTAGCTTTTAGTCAAGGTGTGTCTTTGTCTTTAGCCCCATAAGTCCTCAGTCTTAGCTGTCAGGGACAGCGGGTAATTACACCATGAGGGATACGATTTCCCAATTTAAAATAAACCCACCACACCTTCATGTGATAGAAGTGAATCATTTAAACTCGAGCATGCAGCGGCAAAAAACAAAATAAACAGCTTCTTAAGTTGTTGGCTATCCCAGCATGCACTGCAGGAATGACAACTCTAAAATAAACCAAGTTTTCTTTTTACTATTATTTTTAAAAAGCAGAGAGGGAATAGGACAAGTAAAGGAAGCAAAGCACAGGGAGAATTAAAGGTTTGGACAGGAGTGGTCTAGATGATGAGGACTTAATTATAGACATTTTGAAGATTTTCTTTTGCTTTTCATTCACTAGGGGTCTCTTTATTTTTCTCTTACTTTCCCCAAAATTGGTTTTAAGCACTCTTTTCTTTTTCATGTCCCCTCATGTTTATTGGTGTGTAAAGACCGTATTTGAATAAAGCTGAAGGACAAATTAAAGCCTTCTTCTTTTTCTTAGAGGGATAGGTTACACATCCCCCTCTTCAAACTGAAAGTCTGTTTGGCTGACAAAAAATACCCCTCACAAAAGCACCTTAGTTTCAGGAAATACAACAATCTACGGGTGAAGTGTTTCCAAATCAGGTGGAACTAGTCAAGCTGCTATTTCCTTTAATCTTGGTCGGAGGAACCATCCTGCTGGGTAAACAGGACGAGAAATACCACAGACACCCCCCTCTGTACATGTCGGTGACTAATGTTTGGGTTTCAGTCGTTAGCAGCTGACTCAGAGAGCAAAGAGGCTTGGTTTAATTGGCACAGATAGGAAAGTATGACCACATTATGGAAAGACTGTAAGACTGGGATAACTGCAGAGCTGGAATAGACACACAGTCAGATTCTTGCTGAGGCGTGTGAACATGTGAACGCTCAACACAATGCTTGTGACATCTTCACAGCAATTAATTATGGATTTAGGGTGTGATCAGAGCGACAAGCCTGTGGGACAGTTTTAGAAATACACGTTTTTTCTTTTTTTTTTGCAGAGTTAGATAAACATGACCATCATGGCTGTGCTTAAATCTGAGAGTACAGTCGGCAGGCTGTTAGCTGCGATTAGCATAATCAACGTCAGCTAACCCCTTTCTGTCATAATGTAAAAAAAATAAAAAGATTAACCCAAAACTAAAATAACAAACAGGTTATATTTAATCCATAAATCTGTAAAAAAAAACAAACAAACAAAAAAACCTCAAATGTTAATACAGACAATTGTTTTCCTAAAGGAAGTTACATGTGACAAGCTTTAGGCGAGGCCAGTAAGTAACATGCTAGCGATTTCACATCTACACGCTATGCTACGACACAATGTCAGAATTTTCCCATTCTTTTTTTTTTTTTCAGATTTATTTGTGGGCTTTTTGTGCCTTTATTGGAGAGATTGGACAGTTGATATAGTAGGAAATCAGGGAGAGAGAGAGAGAGAGAGTGGGGAATGACATGCAGGGGAGAGGCCACGGGTCGGATTTCAATCTGGGCCGCCCACTTGGAGGACTACAGCCTCCATACATGGACGAGCGTGCACTAACCACTGCTCCACCAGAGCCCGAGAATTTCTCATCAGATTTAAGGTGATATTCTGTGTTATTTTGTGAGCACTGAAGGTGCTGGTTAGTTGGCCTTCAACACACTTCTAAAACAATTGGACCGAAAATCTGAACATGACATTTACTGAGATGATTGTTTGTGATTATGGGCTTAAAAAAGGCTGATTATTTGCACATCACGTAGGTGCAGAGTTATTAAAAGACAGCAGCAAGACCTTAATAAAATTCTTTATTCCATACTGTACTACAGTTGGACCATATGTTCATCTTCAGGTGGAAAGACGACCATCTGAAGATAAACAAAAGGTTGAAATGTTGTGATTTAATTACATCCTTTTTAGTTTTGAGCAGTGCTGGGCACTTAATCGAGTTTCAATTTCAATTACGATTTTGGCTTCCTGTAATCATGAAAACAAAATATCAAGATGAAATGATTACCGTGCTGCATGCTGTGTTGCATCGACAAGTCCATACCTCAAAGCTCCAAAAAATAGTCATTTGTATGTATGATCATTTTTACATTTTTTTTTCACTTGTTTGGGTTCATTTTTTGTTTGTCTTTCAAAGTGTTCAGAATGCTTAAGTCTTAAATTTGAATCTTTAACATGTTTGGAGCAAAAAAAAGGTGGATTTTCCTATTTCAGAGTGAACCCACGGGACTTGAAGCATTGGACCGACCGCTAGTGTCAGCAGAGCGAGCTTGATAGTTACCAGTGGACCAGTTCAACATAGATGCTACATGAAAAGGCAAACTTTCAATAAGGGGTTAACATATAAAAAGAAACAGGTGTTTATCACGCCTGTGTGCCAGAGAAAACCCACCAACTTTATGATACAGAATACAATGCTCAAGTGAGACTGCTTTCCCAACTCTTTTCTCCAAATCATCAAGAATAAACTTTGAACCCTGACTTCTAAACCAAAATGGGAAAAAAAAGTCCTTAAAATGTCTTTAGAATTAAGTTTGAACAGAACATTAACAATTCATTGACTACTGAGTAAACTCCACTTGCTGCAAGACAAGCTGCTAAAAGAACATCGTGGTGAGGTTGCTTTCATGGACCAGAACTGACTTTGATCAGAGTTTTAATTTCACTTGGACACCAGTCAGAACCACAGATTTACAAGAATACTGTCACAGTTTCCCTCCACCACATTTAAAGGGACACAGAAACCACAAACCGTCCTGGCCCCCCTGGTTCTTAACTCACAAAATGTTTAACTTGAAGTCTAAGGTCCTGGTTTTACTTGAATTGTTCCCTCTGACTGTAATGCTTCCCCCCCCCCCCCCGAGGTGAGAATGCCTGTTTTCCTAGTTTTGCCCCCTCTTCTCCTTCACAACTGAGTAACTTCTTAAGCAAACAATACCTCTGGTTTCTATGGCGATGCAAGACAAGAGGCCTCAAAGCTCCCTGGCCTGGTTTGTTACTTCTGAGGACGCTGGCTGATGGGACGTACTTGAGGCGTTGCAGGGAGGATAAAAGTTTCATTTTGTTTGTTTTATTGACCTTCAAGTCTGGAAATGTAACTACTGTACTGTACACACTGCTGTCACAGCTCACAGCTCTCAAGTCCAGCTGGAAACTCAAACACTACTTATATGAATTCCAGCAGAGCAATGTGTCATCCTCCAGGTTTAATCAGGTTTAAATGGCAATTTAAAAAAACAAAGCATCGTTTTTAAAACGTGCATTAAAGCCTCTGTACGTCCACACAGGGGTTTTAATTACGATTAGGATGTGTCATACCCTATATGGTCCACTCATTGTATCCCACAATGCATTGTGTAAAGTAGTGTACAACCATAGACTGTAAATATTATTCAACCGATGGTCATCATCCAAGCAATATGTACCATCATGCATTGCGGCTAAATGGTTTTTCAGAGCGGTTTTTGACTCTCAGATGGACGAGAGGAGCGTCATTTGGGGGCGTTTTCACTGAAATCTTTGATCTGTTTTAATCAAGATTAACAGATTGTCAGCAGAGAAACGACAGTTTGTCCTGATCATGACGACAGGCCCAAGTGAAAATATGTTTAATTATTTATTTAAAATACAATATTTTCTATGTATTCATAATCCATGACTGTTTTGTGAAAATACACTCAGTATAATTTAAGTTATTACTGAAATTCATGCCGTTATTAACCGTTGTTGTTGATCCTCGGCCAGAGTTATGCTGCACATTGGTGGCCGGCGAGTGAGCGAGTAGTGTCTGAAATAGTTTTTTAAAGTTTTGCCGAATGAGTGCACTATATGGTCCACTATGGGAGTAAGGAATGAGTGTGTGATTTCAGGTTGTAAATATTAGGAGCTACGGTGAGAATGTGTGATGTAAAAAATCCTAAGCATGATAATGCGTCACCAAGTCCTCCTTCCCATTAACGGTTTCTTTTAAATTAACAGTGGAGCTGTCATCAAACTGGACCACACCCACATATTCCAGAGAAGAGGTGTAATCATGGTCTAATTACTAACACCTGTGTGGGTGTACAGAGGCTTTCATATCCCTGACTGTATGTATCAGTCTGTAATAAACTATATATACAGTATGTGCTAAAGTATCATTAAAGAAGAGTTTTAATACCAAGGCTGCGAGCATATGTATATCACTTTCCACCGTAGCGTTCTTCTTCTTTTGTACAGTATGCGAGGGTCGAGAGTGTGCAGGCTCCACATTCCAAGCCAACTCTACAGAAACTGATTTTGCTGATTAGTTTCTCTGAGCTATCTGTAAATCACTGAGAGGAATGGAAAACCTGCTCAGACTTTCGAGACGAGAAGGTATCTCGATGTTTGGAGCAGCGCAGCCACGAGTCGGTTTATTCAGTGACAACAATCAGGAGGGTATTCCTCTGATCCGTTGCTGCAAAATTGGCTTTCCTTCTACTTATTGTATACCTCTCTTATTCAGTCTCATGGTGAGAGTCACGTGAGAAGATAAATATCTCATCAGGTCTGCATGGTAAGTATGAGATTAAAGTCCAAAGGTAGTTAGCTTAGCTTAAAATGGGGAGCGGGACAGGAGGAAGTTTTGTCCCCTCTTCTCGTTCACAGGAGAAGGACTTCTTGGAGTAGTATTACCAGCTTGATTTTGACAACCAGCAAAGACTCAAGGAGCAACTGCATGTGGTTAAGGCGAACAGTCCTGCACGTAACTCAATAAACCACCGCATGTTGTTTTTATAATCTAGTTTTTGCAGTGATTAAACATATAAGAAATATCAAGTTAGTCATGAACTTAAAAGACCTTGGAATTAGATTTTGCTACCTCTGGACAGAGTCTGACTATGTTTTTGTGTCTGGTCTTTTTGCCAAGCTAAGCTAGGCTAGGTGGCTACTACTTGCATAGAATGCAGCTCTCACTGCTATATATCCACCTCTGATCTATATCTTTGTCTGTAGCTTCTTAGTTGCTGCAGACTTTAGTGTGGAGCCCTCACGGCAAACACTTTATATCCATTAGTTCTTAGTCTTGAATTTGGAATTAGCAGAAGACCTCTGCCCGAAGACCTCAAAGTACGAGTGGGTTTGTATGGTCATAAAAGGTCTGATAAGGAGCTGGGAGAAAGGCCATGGAGAGATTTAAAGGGGACATATTATCCACTTTGACAGTGTTTTTGAACATATATTTGGGTAACCTGAGTGTCTACCGACCCACAAAATGTGAAATAAACCCATCCACTTCTTTGTTTGTGGTCTGCATAAGTCTTACAACACAGAGAAAAATGCTCCGTTTCAAGAGGTCACAAACCTCCTTCTGGTGCTTGATTCATGTAATATTATTATTATTATTATTCATAGACCACAGGGGACTGTTTGAAAAGGTGGAAAAGGGGTATAATATGTCCTCTTTAAAAGTAATCAGTAAAATCTTTCTAATAAAACACACGGGAGCCGGTGTCGAGATGCTAAAACAGACGTAATGTGGTCATGCTTTCTGGTTCTGGTTAGAAGCCTGGCAGCTGAGTTCTTTACCAACTGGAGTCGATCTATAGATAATGTTGTCATTATCTGGTGAGTTTTGTCCATGTTAATAAAACTGACTTTACCATCCATATGTTATTTTGCTCATAACTGTGCCTGAACCCAATTCACATTTCTTAAAGACTTTAACTCCTGGTTTGATCAAAGCCATTTTGGTGTCTTAACCAGCTGCATAAAAGAAATGATTACTCCGCCACGTAGGTTGGGCACAGAACAAACAGAGTGAGTAATTTAAAAAAAAAAAGAAGCTTTGTGCAGATGCAATGACGACACTTTCACACCGTGGATGTGAGCTAAACGTACTGTATGTGTGAAATGCTTTGCCTTTTGGCTCAGACATACAGATTTAAACCGGACATGCTGTGCTACAATGTTGAGCTGCATAAAATGCTCCAGATAGCAGAAGTTCACATCCTGGTTTCAACATTTGCCTGTATATGATGCATGCTTACAGTTCACTCACTCAGGGACAAAGTGCTCAAAGTGTTAATGTGATTGTTGTAACACACGCTTCATAATGCTGCAACTCACCTGAGGTGTTTGGACACTTGCAAAACACCTGCATACATTATTTACCCAACCAGCTGACTGAGCTGCTGACACACAGGCACATTATTTCTGCTCATTTGTTACCTAAACGCTGTATTATTATGAACTGTATCTGAAGCTGTTCTTTGATAATACTGTTGTGCACTCTCTTGACACAGATTTTCCAGCTCATGGAAAATGCCAAGTTAATAAATGATAAACAAGGAAGTGGAATTTAAAGGACAGAGGAGCATTTTGTAGAGCACATTTCAAAGACTTTATGAAGATACAATAACAGGATAAAACGTACTCACCCTTAAAGACTAAGTTGTAGGCCTCATCTGACCCCATATTGTGTCCATTCAATGTTGCCGCCCTACAGGTTACTATCGCGTCTCCAGGACTCACAGATTGCCCTCAGATGACACTGACTCACAACACGACCCGACTGCCCCTCAGACCGTCAGCATTCAGCAGAGGAAACAGCTGCAAAGTGTGGGTTTGGACACATGAATAAAAGTCACCAGCTTTCTGCCCTTCTCTATCTGGGTTACTAGAAAGCTGGCTTGTTTGAACAAGGCATGCTGAGTGTAACCAGGTTGTTTTGCTGCAGCAGGCAGGGTCTGTGGCAGGGAGTGGCGGCGCAGACGCGGAGGCGTGTCTTTGTCGTGGAGTGAGTGCAGGGCAGGTTGGACAGGTGGGGTGACTCACAGGTACGGCTGAGTGAGTCTGTCAGGCGCCTTCTGCTGGAACAACATTACACTGCATGCAGGAAGCAGGAAATAAGTGATTTTTCTTAATCATAACAAGTCAGAAAATCAACCTTTAAGAGATCAGATGGTTTTTCTGTGAAACTTACTGATCAGTTTTGTTGTTTCTATTTCAGCCTGAGAGGCCACATAGATTGCACCATGAACACTTCTTTTTGGTCTTAGTGATATCTTTCTATCCTCAAAATTGGACTTCCTAGACAGGATTTCCAGGATTATTCAATCAGGCTTATTTTATGGTGCTCACTTGAGGACGATGTCAAGGTCAATGAAGCTGCAGAGAGTCCCAAAACAACATCTTCATAGGCCAATTTTTCACAATGTCGTGTTTAATTGAGGTGTGTACCACGGACTATTACCATATACAAGAAAACCCTCTTGTCACTAGCGATTTTGGGACTATTTTTTCATAGCAGTCACTAAAGACATCCTTGTGAAAACGTCAATGTAAATAACTCTCCTTAAGAAAGTTTTGATTTTATGGATCATTTTGGGACCCCTGATTTATTTTCTTTCTTGCTTCTACTCATCTGTCATGTTGATCTTTGAGCCCTCTCGTGTCACACCAAGCAGTCAGCGCAGAGCAAAGACACAAAATGAGTCTGTTTGAATATTGATTCCATTTTTTATTTATTTGACAACAACATATAGAAAATAATCCACACTGCATTGCATCAGCAAGAACATTTTTATGAAGAATTCCACAAACGTTTTTTATCATTTGCATGTAGGCCCTCTGATGGGTTTCAAAATGTTCAATTTTCTGCCTCGCTGTGATCGGCACGCCTGAGCGTAAACTGCAAATGAGTAAATCAACTAGGACCCTGCAGAAAATGCGGAGTCATTTTCGCATTTTTACACCCAGAGTTCCTCCTGAAAAACTATGTGGACTTTCAGAACAGACCATCAGACGCCGAGTCAAAGCAGCGGGCCAATATTTAAAACCAATACAAGCTTTTAGATTAATACCATGGTTATAAATACACTGTTCAACCCTTGCCTCCCTCACCCCACACACACGTTCACTCACACACTCGTAGATATATATGCATGTACACAGAATGTTACAGTAGTCCATGAATAACCTGGATCATATGAAGCTGTTTTCCCCCTCTCCAGGCAGACAGAAGGGACAGACACGTCTTCACTATGATGCTGCTACCTGAGTTAATGGTTCCTCCAGGTACTGCACAAGGGCCTCCGCCTGTAAACACAACACACACAGATCAGTGTTAACAAGGACCCTGTTTCCTCCCTCGAATCTAAAAGCCAGATTGGCATGTACAAGAAAAAAAAAGGGGAGAATTCATGAATACCAGGCCATTGAAAGTGAGACGTTGGTTGATTGTGAAAGCAAATGACTGAACGCAAACGTGTCATAAGTCTCACCTTGGCTTTAAGCATTCCAAAGCCGACTGTCTCTTTGGCGTACATGCACAGGAGGAGGTTTGCTACACGGGTAATGGCCACTCTTCCTTCCTAAAAGAGAGACAGTGAGCGAGAAGGTCACAAAGGGAAACTACGTTCTGAACTCACTGATCATTTATCAGTTTCCTTTAGACAGAGCAGAGTTTGTATCAGGTCTAAATGTCAAAAACACAAATCAGTCCTCATAAACACGAGAGCTCTTCTCACCATACAATCCATGAGTATGAATTTGAGTTTGTCTTCGTTAAAGGCTTGGTGGCCGTTCTTGTCGTATGCCGCCCAGATGTTGCTGGCGATGGCGGCTGTCACTCGAGCGTCTGTGTCCCCGTAGCCAGAGTAAGCCAGGAGGGAACCTTCGTTGTTCAACAAGCTGTTGAAGATGTTCAAGAACCCATCAGATAAAGATTTGAATTATTTCACAAAAGACTTTGACTGATCTTAATTTAACATTGTTGAGAAGATCTACAGCTAGTTACAGTAAGGTTTGCAGCGGGACATAAACTGACCAATCACATTACAGTGCATACAGGGTTCCCACTCTCTGCTAGAGGTCATTTTCATGACTTTTCGACTGACAGTTTTAAGCTGGTATGACAGGAACGCATTGTGCTCCATACAGCAATAGTCTGAAGTCTGATTTAAGAGACGTGCAGTCTATGGATACAACCATGACCTCTCACATGTTTAGAAATGATGATTAATTGATCATAGAATAATGCAAATACACCTGGCGATGTATAGCACTTTATTGTATTCATATTTTGTCAATTAAACTAAATTGAAACCCTTCATTTTAACTCTAAAGACACTGAGGTTTTCCTCATTTACAGTGACGTCGAGCTTACCAAACCTTCAACCACAGGAATGGCTCTAAATGTGTTTGCAATGACAGTAGGATACCTCCTTCAGGGGTCCACACATGACAGCCCTCCCTCTCACTGTGCTGCTGAGCAAAAGCTGATCACACTTTTTGGTGTAGTTTAAAATATGATATAATAGTGATGGATGCACATGGGGGGGTGAACAGACTCTATAATCGCCACTGAATATAATAATAATTCAATGTTTCAGTCACCATTACATTTGATATATTTTAAGACGCACTGCTTGCAAAAAAAAAAAAAAACATGTCATTTGTTCCTAAAGTGTTTCAATAGTTACCAAAAGATGTCAAAGTAAAAATCAGGTTGTTGATTTCTACATTTTGAGCCTGCTCACCTGACTCAAGGCCGAATATTTTATTGAATGGTGAGCGTTTTTTTTTATTTTTTTAAACAAGCTATTCGTATTTAATTGTATGTAAAATACAGCGTTGTAAAGGGTAATAAAAGTATCAGTAAAACTGTTTAAATATACTAACACTCCTGCCTCAGCTAGCATCTCGGTAGCATGCTGCTTACTAGTTAACAGTACTCACAGTGTGCTCTGGACTCCGTTTGTGTTCGCCTGGCTCAGGACCTGCGTTAACGCCTTCGGTCGTAACATGTTTACCTTTTAACTTATCGGTGATTAAACAAAATACTGTCAAATATGAAATTGTCACCAAAAAAAAAAACGGCCTTGAAACTGTTAAAAACTACTCATCAACACAAAGGCAAGTCAGCTGACTGTGTTGTTTGCTTCCCTTTCCGGAAGCCTTCGTAATGCATTGTGGGAATTGTAGGCGCCGGGATTCCGAGCGAAGCGAAAACAGGCCACAGTTTCTTGCGGCTCTTTATTAGAGTGGTTTTAATTTTAGGGAGGCTTTGCCAATTTTTTTTCTAAACTCTTTGTATGTATTGCAATTATCCTAAAGCCTACACATGATAAGTCATGCGTTTTATTTTATAATAACCCCAATAACTTTGGCTACATTTGTGGCAAGCAGCAATGGACAAGTGCAGCAAAGAAACGAGGTACCACTTTGTCCACAGGAGGCGCCAAAATGTTCACAAACAAAAAGCGCCTCACATGAGCTCTACGTTCATATTGGTTTCTTACGAATGATATAATTAATAGACCATTAAAATGATGATGAAAGGCCTTGAACTTCCTCTTTTTATGCACAATCGACTACAATTTCTGTGGGTGACACTACAGCTGACATTATTTTCCCAGTTTATAAACTTGAAGCGTCATTTCTTTATTTCAGCACAAGTATTTCCCCTGACTCTTTCAGATCAGACAAAGTGATTAAAAGCAGCTGCCTAAAGAAGCTTTATTTATATTTTCCATAGTATAGATTTAGAAGATGAGATTTTTCATCAGAAAACAATACTTAGTCATGAATAGAACAAGAGCAGCAAATAAATTAGGTACCACTTTGTCCACAGGGGGCACCAAAAATCAACACAAACAAAAAGTGCCTCAGTAGCTGTATGTATATTTTAGATTCTTATGAATTATATACTTAATAGATCATTAAAATATGACAGGAGTTGGAAAAAATGTATTTAAAGATGGGGTGTAATTCAACATAATACAGTAGGCAATAGACAGCACAGACAAGTTGTAAATGGTTTATTGGATTGAAAAAAAAGCCTACTTTTCTGTCCAGACAAAGTCATACAATAAAAGAGTTCACAGATCATTAAGCGGTGTATGGAATTGCAGATCCCAACGTTATATTTAGGGCTCTGCACTGCTGGTATAAAAATACACAACCGTAATTGTTATGAGTTTTACTTCATCTTTAATCAACAGGGTTTGAATGGCTCATCCAAATTTATTTTAAGCATCACCGTTGTTTATCTGGGACCTGTTCAGACACTTGAGACAGAATCAATTTATTAGGAAAAAAAACAAACAAAAATATCAGGAGTATGTCCCATTTCATTTTACTTTTGGAATGTTACTCGACCAGAAATCAACTTGAACCAAAGGTTTGAAGGCAACGACAACTAGGTAAGAGTATGGCAGGTTGCACCTTCAACGTCACAGGATTCATAGTTCTTCCTCTTCTTTAGACACATTTAAACCGGCCTGGTTCAAGTCAGACCAATCACAACCTTTAATCTAACGGGGGGGGCGTGTTTTAGTGCAGTGGAAAAGTCAGTTTCCTTCAAATGTGAAAAAAAAAAAGAACACTGTCAAACCCTTTCCACACCCACAATACATCCTTTGTTCTCCAACTTGAAAACTTTCACTTCCTCCTCTCCAAATACCGAGGCAGCAGTTTGACCATCCTCGCGTGATTCAGTTATGATAATGAAAATGTTTAACTTCTATAAATACCAGTAAACCAGGCAAAAAAACCCCATCAAAAGACAGAAACAGATCGAATCTAATAAGAGCATCATCCAACCTACTGCAACAGAACTTAGATTCGAAACTCTTACCACCTAAATAGAATTTGTTAAATTAAATATAATGTTAAATCCTTTGAATAAGCACTTGTCTTTACAGAAATCATCTCCAGCTACAGTTGCAGGAGTAACTCAGCGGTCCCAGCAGCGACGGTCTTGGCATCATTT